AAAACTAAACCCAAGAATTCCAGAACACGAAAACAGCAATGAACACCAAAGATGCTATTCTGATTGGAAAAATCTGGAAAAAAATCTCAAGGAAGGAAAGACCTTGGATTCTGATCTGCAGAGAGTTATCAACGGAGAGATGAAAAAGTGGAGAGATATCTTGAAAGTGATTGTTGATGCAATTTTGTTCTGTGCCAAGAACAATCTTGCCCTTCGGGGTTCAACAGAAGTAATTGGAGAGCAAAACAGTGGCATCTTTCTGAACTTAATTGAGCTGATAAGCCTTTATTATCCTTTAGTGGCTGAACACTTTGCATCCGTTAAGGCAAAGAAAACCACAACATCCTACTTTTCTCCTCAAATTCAAAATGAGCTGATTGAATTACTTGGGCAGAAAGTCAGGAATAAAATTTTGTCAAATGTCAGAGAAGCTAAATACTACTCTGTTTTGTTTGACCGCACTCCAGATGCCTCCCACAAAGAGCAGATGACCCAAATAATCAGGTATGTCCACATCACTGAGGAAACCTGTACAATTGAGGAAAGCTTTGTGGACTTCATTAAATCTCACGAAAAAACTGGAAAGGACCTTGCAGCTGAAATCACCGAAAAACTGGAGGATGGCCTGAGCATTTCTGATTGTCGGGGCCAAGGTTACGACAATGGAGCCAATATGTCTGGAAAATATAATGGCGTCCAAGCTCACATCCATTCTCTAAATGAGTTTGCAAGATTTGTTCCATGTGCAGCTCACACTTTAAACCTTGTTGGTGTCCATGCTGCTGAAGTTTCTCCACTCATGATTACATTCTTTGGAAAAGTTCAAGCCATCTTTAACTTTTTCTCAAGTTCTACCTTAAGATAGGAAAAACTGATGAAAACATTGACCATCTCACTAAAGGGAAATAGTGATACAAGATGGTCTGCCAAAAAAGAAGCAATCACCCCACTACACAGACAAATCAAAGAAGTTCTTCAAGTTTTGGAATCCATAATTCACACTCTCAAGACAAATGCTGTCTCAGTTTGCAGTGCACAAGAGCTCATCATTCAAATTGATTTCAGTTTTCTGTGTTTGTTGGATTTTTGGTGTCAAATTCTTTCTTTAATTGACCGGGAAAACAAACTGCTTCAGTATAAAAACATTTCAATTGACATTGCAGCGAAAAAAATGAAAGGACTGAAGGCTTTCATTCAGAATCTGAGAGATGTTGGGGTGGACAACATTATCAAAGCTGCTGCAGAAACAGCTATCCAAATTGGAATAGAAGGAGACTTTCCTATGAAGATAAAGCGCAAAGTGAAGCAGATGGCACTTTATGAAGCTGAAGATGACTTTTGCCGTTTGTCACCAGAAACAGATTTCGGATCCCAGTGCAACCTTGTGTTTGACAGCATTCTCACACAAATTGAGTGGCGGTTTGAAGCTATGTCTGCAGTATCCTCAGATTTTGACTTCCTCAGTGGACATTCTCTCTCTAAAAGTTCAGTGGATGAACTTAAGACTAAAGCCAAAAATGTCAGTCAGAAATGACAAGCTTTAAATATCAAGCTGCTGCCATGATGGAAAACTTTGAAAAATCTAGCCCGATGGACATTTTGCAGCCCATTCATAAATACTCATTGACTGATGCTTATCCTAACACGGCAATTGCTATTCGCATCTTCCTCACCTTACCAGTTACAGTTGCCACGTGTGTAAGAAGTTTCAGTAAACTTAAGATCATAAAAAACTATTTGAGATCAACTATGGGCCAAAAACGTTTGTCTTGTCTGGCAGTAGTTTCAATTGAACATGAAGTGGCCAACGCACTTGATTTTGATGGTGTCATTAGTGACTTTGCCTCCAAAAAAGCCAGAAAAGTGACCTTGAACTGAAGTTTGTGAAACATTGGTGACAAATTGTTCTTTTAACTTGATGCGATAAATTTTGTGATCAATAATTAATTTTTTTTCATGTAAATATATGTATAATGTGTTTTTTGTATATTTTTTTGGGAGGGGGGCGCAATTTTATTTGCTTGCCCGAAGCGCAAAGTTGGCCTGGTACGGCCCTGTATATATATATATATATATATATATATATATATATATATATATATATATATATATATATATATATATATATATATATATAACAATATATTCATAAAAGCACGTTTACATAGTTTTCCATGTTATTTAATATAAAAATAGAAAAAAAATCTTCAAGTGAAGTCCTTTTTTTGTAAACCCCCTCACTCCCACTTTGTCTCTTTTTATCCTTGTTATCCCAACCCCCTCTCTCCTTTTTTGCAATATGTTCTCTATGGTTGACCCCTTGAGCAATTCATTTATCTTTTTTTAAAGAAAAACAACGAATAAAAAAAAGTAAAACTTCTTTCCATTAAACTTATTCATTTTTACTAATTTCTATATACTAAATATTTTATATTTCTACTAATTATCAAAAGTTTAGTTATTTCTCTATCATCAATTGAAAATAAAATCAATTAAAAAATAAAATCAATTAAAAAAATTTAATTTCATCAAACAAAATAATATTGGAGTCTTAATTTACCATTATTTTACTTTCATCAATAATTTATTTGTGTGCATAGTTATACTTTTAATTCTCTTTCATTAAATCTACGTTTACTTTTTATTTCATAAAACTAATTAAACCATTGAACTGTAAATTGTTGACTGATGATATGGGATCTCATAAGATGTCTTTTGTAAAAATGTAATCCTTCAAATAGACTTTTTATGTGGACTATTTTTACTTCACCACCTTAGCTAAAAAAAATAAAACTTTCATTTATATCATTATTTTTAATACCTTGGTGATAATTTAATGCATTTATAGCCTCTTTACAAAATACTTTTAACATATATCAACCTTTTATCTAACAACCACTCTTGGGTTAGCAGCAACATAAGTCAGCTTAGACATTTTAACCAGCTGACTAACTCATTTTCAGCAGACTTTTCAATTATCTAATTGTTTCGTATACACTTTAATACATGCATAAAATTAAAAATTAAAAAAAATGTCATCAGTTGTTAACCATAGAGATAAGCAATCAAATTGTTTTAAGAAAATGCTTGATTTACTCTATTATAATCATTAATTAAAGCGATAACTTTTTCATTTGTCTACTTAATTTGTTTGATTAGGATATTAATTTGATTGCATACAAAATCCAAATTATTTACTGGTAACATTCTTACTATAAATTTTGTTCCGTCATAAAAACATACAACCATGAAAACCAATATAGTTGTTGCAAAACTTGATTCATTGTTTACTGCTTTACAGTTCACATCAAAAAACTTCAAAAAAAGGTGATCTGGTTAAAATATTTGCTTTACCAAACAAATGTCCCCGTGATAAGTTAGCATAGGTTTAACATAAACTTCATCTAGTAATAACATACAGTTTTTTTGACTATTTTGTTGAGTTTTAAAAAAACACTACAAATAAAAGTGTGAAACTTTTGAAGTTATAAGTGTCAGGAAGATAAAAATCATTTCTTCATTGATCATATAAACTATGTAACCGTGCAAAATGTTTGAAAGCTCAAACAATAACTTCAGGTGAATATTTTTGCTAAAAAATGTTACTTGAGTTCAACTTATGCATTCAACCTGCTGACGTAAAATTGTTTTCGTTTCTGACTTCTTAAAAGAAATCAAATATCCAAATGATGTGACCAACTTTTGAACTTATATATACAATTTTTAACTTATGAAGTAATATTGAATACAACTCCAGCATGATAGATTTCATATAATAAATTATTAAATACTATTAGACATAATTTACTAATAGTATTAGTAATACCATTATTGCTTTAATGCTCTTTTGATTGCAAACAACATCTATTCAAATAAATAGATAAGCTAATGAATCATTAAGTCTTCCTTGAGATAAATAACTGCAAAATATTCTAAATGAATCAACTTCGTCAAACTCTACAAATTTTGAAAGTTCATCTTCTTTTACTGATCTGAAAGACTCTTTAAGCTTTCTAAGAAAGCTTTTACCTATTGTTGTTGTTCTTTTTCTAGTGGAAGAGATGGCACTAAACTCTAAATTAATTCAAATACACTAGGTGGATCTCGAGGATTTTCTTTTCCTTTTACTTTAATAACTAGGAAGTTTGATGGAAAATGTTTTGCACAAACTACAGTGTAATGTTTATATGGTATATTGTCTATTGGGAAAACGTTAATCCATCTCTGCCGCTCTTTAAGACCTCTTAGAAATTCTAGAAGTATTTGTCTTATCTTTTACTGAGTCATAGTTATAGTTACAACCAGTTTTCTGTGCATTTTTAACATAATTTTCTATGCGTTGCCTGATGTGATTTCAGTTCACCCTGTAGCGAAATGATTTTCAATTTCAAGAGATTGTTGAAGTCCTAATTTACCGTTTCACTCGTAATTTCCTGGTAAATCTAAACTCGAAAGGTTCTAATTTACCGGGGAATTAAGATTTTTGAAGTCATAATTTCCCGAGTCCTAATTTACCGCGACACCGGCTTATTATGTTGTAAATGCGCATTTAAAACTTGTTTGAATACGCATTATTCTGGTATGTATTTTAGCCATTTTATACTGTCAAACGCGCATTTTATTATACTCACATTTAAAATTCTTGTAAATACGCATAAAACACAGTAATTAGATATTATTCAATACTAGCAGTAAGTAACCCGTAATACGCGTTGTAAGTAAATAAAATTAAAAAAAAAAAACCGCGTATAGAAAAGCCTAGAAACTACTTTAAAATAGAAAAGCCTAGAAAATGACGTAACTCGACGAATAATAATAATATTAAATTAGCGTATTCATATTATCAGAAGGCATTTAAAACTTTTCAGAACACGTGTTATTCACGAATATATTTTAGCCATTTTACTGAGTAAAAGATATACTCTGGTACATCTTTTACGTTTAAAACGCATATAGACCACAGGCCATCGATCTGTATCGTTCAGTTTCGTAGTGCAGTAATGAGCTCTAACCGTTTTACAAATTATTTCGCGTTTTAAGGTATAATAAATTGATGGGTAAAATTTCTCAACTTGTAATCGCGCAGTTTTTAAGTTATAGCTCTTTTAAATTTTCAAACTTTAACCTTATCGTGTGTTTCGATATCTCTGCGCCATATTTTTTTTTGTCGATTTATTGTTTGTGTATTTTACAGAACACAATAAACTCTAAAAAAAACTTTAAAATTATGTTCGACAAATTACACAAAAACACAATATAATTAATTTTTTTTCATTATCCATAAACAAAATGTCAGCCGAGTGCCACAAACCGTTCTGTATTGTTCATTTAACTGGATGTAGTGGCGTGTTAAATAAGTTTTCTAAAAAAACGTTTGAAAATTTTTGTATAAAAAGAACGAAATGGCTTTCTCTTGCGGAGGAAGGGAAAACTGTCGCGGAAATTTCTCTCAATTTTGTTGGGAAAGATGTTTCATTTGAGAATCTTTATGCTACAACAACAGGAAGAACTTGCTCTCCATATTATCATTTAAAATGTTACCAAAAGTTCACTGACAAAGTCCTTATTGCAAGAATAGAAAAAAAAATTAATGAATCTAAAGCTAAAAATAAAAGAAGATCTACTTCACCAACAACACTTTGCACTAGAGGTAGAAAGTCCACAAGAAAATGCAACAGCTCTAACAGTAATCGTAATAGAAATAAGACTCACATTTTACCCGAAATTTGTTTGGTTTGTGAAAAGGTGGAGAAGTACTTTATGGATAAGGTAAGATTGTCTGATAATATTTATATATATATATATATATATATATATATATATATATATATATATATATATATATATATATATATATATATATATATATATATATATATGTATATATATATATGTATATATATATATATATATATATATATATATATATGTATATATATATATATATATATATATATATATATATATATATATATATATATATATATATATATATATAATTTGTGTGTGTGTGTGTGTGTGTGTGTGTGTGTGTGTGTGTGTGTGTGTGTGTGTGTGTGTGTGTGTGTGTAATATGTATAGCTTAGCAATTCTTTACAGATCATATATTGCATAGCTACTCATATTATTTTATCTATTAAATATACTATTATATTATATGTATATTTTTGAATTCTCTTTAATTTACTTATTAAAATTTTTTATTAGGTGCAACTAAAGCGATCTGTGCAATATCTAACTCTGGCAGAAACAAAAGATGCAGTAATGTAGGATTTGCTGCAGAATCTTTTGTTAATAATAGTTCAACTGAAAATACAGATGAAGATGATAGTAATAGTCATGATGACAACACAAAAGAAATTCCTAAACAAAATATTAGTATAGAATTGGTCCATTTTTACATGGTGGCATTAGAGTTGAGAAAGGTTATTCAAGGAATAGCTGATTTCACTGGGATTTGGCCTCCAGTTTCACATTTGTTTACCATTGAAAATTGTGTTGAAAGTGTTCCAATAGTACTATATAACTTTTTATGTCTTGTTCTTGGTTTTTCTGATGAACCCTATCTTTATAATCAACGTCATTCTATTACAACACCACTTATGCTTAAAGTTATTTCTATTGCACAAGATCTTATTTATGTTGCATCAAAAGGGCGAACCAATACTTACAAACATCTTGCACTCGGTATGACAGTCAGACAACTTACTGGATCCAGCAAGCTTATTGACATTTTAAATGGATTTGGTCATTCTGTATCAAGTGCAACTGTCATTCGTCACGAATCTGCGTTAGCAGCATTAAATGTGATGGTTAATACCATTGTTCCATGTAATGTAGCAAAAAAAAAGTTCACAACTCTAGTATATGATAATGCTGATTTTCTTGAAGAAACTCTCTCTGGATCTGGAACAACTCATGTTACTCATGGAATTTGCATTCAGGAAAAATACAATTGCAATTTTAGCAACTCTATCCAAGTTAGCAGAAGATTAAAAACTGTTCCATTGCCAAAACAAGTGGTTCAACCATATCATTTAGGAAAAAAACCATCATTTAGTGTTCCATATGATAGCCAAAGTTATTTTACTCAAAATAATCTATTGGATTTGACACCTTCCACAAATGTCAATGAACAATTGCATTTTATTAAATATGATCTGGCCTACTGTTTTATCAAGTTGCCAACTATAAGCTCAGAAATTCTACCTTCATGGACAGGTTTAAACACTATAATGTCTGATAAAAATATGCTAACTACTATTGCTTACTTACCAGTTATTGATGCACCTGTAACTGAAATATCAACTATCAATGAAATTTTGAAGCAAGCACTTACAATTGCTAACACGCTTGAACTAGCACATATTGTGTTGGTTTTTGATGAAGCTGTCTACTCAAAAATACAGTTAGTTAGGTGGAAGACTGAAGAATACTTAAGCCGTATTGTAGTACGTCTTGGTGATTTCCATATGTTAATGTCATATTGTAGTGGAATCTCAAAAATTTATGCTGATGCAGGAATGCAGGTAATTTTTTTGAAATTTGTATAGATTAACACAATTTTAACTGTAAAAATAATTATTGTACATTATATTGTATACAATATTACAATATACAATATTGTATATATATTAGGTTGAAACTTATATACAACACAGTAACAATAAAGAAATTTTTTTGCAATATAATTTGGCATAAACAGTTATTAAAATTTATTAGGATATATTTATTGAATCTGGAATTGTGGCATCTGGTTCCATTAACGGAGTCCTATTAGGGAAACATTACAATCGATCTGTGCGTTGTCATAAAACATTGTATGAAGCACTTCAACGCCTCTGCTTTCAATCATTTTTGGATTCCTTGGTGAATGAGGAAAATTGTGATATCATTGAATTTTTGTCTGCTATGAGAGAATGTATTGTTAAAGAAAATGATGATTTTTATTATCACAATTATAAGGTATTTTAGTGAAACTTTATTTTTCTTTTTAAGGCTTTTTAAAATACACTTTAAGATAAAAACAAACAAAAAACTTCTTAAAACTTCTTGCAAAATTTTTTCTAAAATTATAGTATAAAAAAATTTGTATCACTTTATATTTATAGCAGTAAATATTGCATATTATTTCTCATAAAAGGAAATTAAGGGGATATTGTTAAACAAAAATTTGAATAAACCAAAATGTAATTATTTTTCAGGATTATATTGAGAGCCAGAAGTTTGAGAATCTGTGTCAACGGTACAAAGATTTTGTTGATGTACAGTGCCAAGAAAATGCCACATTCAACTTTTGGTATAATTACATAGATATGATACAAATTTTGCTTTTACATATACGAGCTACGCGCACTGGAGATTAGGCGTTACATTTATCAGCTGTTAGATCGATGCTCCCATGGTTTTTCATTACAGATAGAGTTAATTATGCGCGATATGCTACTTCTTACTGGGTGGAAATGAAGAGATTAGCAATAACTCATCCAGGTAGCTTTAATACATTTAGCTTTAAAATAAATATTTGGTAATCTTCCTTTGTTTTAAGAATATGCGTAGTGTATTCATTGATAATGCAAAATGCAACTACATAGTTTAAATTGTTTTATATAAATAATAATATAATTTCAATTTCTGAAAATATACTCTAGCTTATTTTAATATAATATATTTTAGCTGTTAATGATGAAATTCACAATAACTGGACTTCTCAACGACAGGAACAATATGGATTTTCTAGAGTTGCATGTGACCAGACAATTGAGCAAACTTTTAATAGGGATTCGAAAACACAAGGAGGCATTGTTGGGTTTACTCGAAAACGATCAGCTGTTCATAGTTGGATCATGGCTCAACATCAACGCTGTGCTATATTTAAACAATGTGAAATCATTTCGGGTAGTATATCTCATACACGGTAACTTTGTTTTCTTACTTTTTGCCTAATTTTAATAAAGTAATCTCTCTCTTTACTATCTCTCTTTACTATCATAGCTTCACACTGTAATGTTTACTGTATTTAGAGTAGTAGTTAGTAAAAGATTCAATTATTTCATGTTGTAGGCAGAGGAAAGACCTTGGCGTTAGTAGGATCAAAAAGGACGAAAATGCTATTCTTGATGTTCTATCAACAATTAAAACCATGGCAAACCCATTTGATTTAGAAACTAGTGTCCTTCTTCATTTATCTACAGGAGCAGTTGCAACTGTTCCACTGACTACAGATATGAGAAACATGTTGTGTACAGGCGAAGAGAAAGTTGTATCATTTATTAACACCAGAATACTATCAAGTGAACAGGATTTACACTCATCCATTCCTAAATCAAAAATTGTAACATTTTCCAGTATGTTAAAAAAGTATTCAGCTAAAACCTCAAATGGAGACTTAGTTACAGTAAAAAACACAAAAGATTAGTTTGCAAAACTAATTCTAATTGCCAAATCCAGAAATGTTGAGATGAGAGAAGTTTTAAAGTATCCTCTTCGTCCATATCCAATGCCTTTTGCTACAACAACTGGTGGCTTAGTAAAAACACAAAAGAGCAAGTTAATCAGTTTAATTGAAACTCCAGTTGTTGATGCTATAGTAGATAATGTTGAAAAAGGTAATGCTTTGATGATTGATGCTATGGCGTTACTGCAGACGTTAAAAATTATCACTCCAACATTTAAAGAGTTGTCTGATTTTCTTCTGTGTACAGTTATTTCTATGGGAAACTCCTTTGGATCATCTCGTATTGATTTTGTCAGCGACAGATATCCAGAAGTCAGTATAAAAGATCTTGAACGAGATAAAAGAGCTTCATTGGGAAGCCAGACAATCAAGATTATGAACCCTAACCAAAAGGTTCCAAAGCAGTGGAAAAAATACATGTCTGTTGGAAGCAACAAAGAAGATTTGGTAGACTTTTTATATCAAAGCTGGCAATTGAGTGATCCTAGTTTGTTTTGTGGAATTTCAGTATACATAACACATGGTGAATTTTGTCATCAATTCGTCCCTATATTGAAAACTGTTGTTGTGAACGAAGTAGCTGCTTTGCACTGCAATCATGAGGAAGCAGATACACGCCTTTTAGCTCATGTTGAACACGCCATCACCAACGGGATTAAAAATATCATTATTCAAAGTCCGGATACTGATGTGTTTGTAATAAGCTTAAGTAACACGTTTTGTAAAGATAGTTGTCTATACTTTCTCACTGGAATAGGAAATAAAAGAAGGATTATCTCAATAAATGCTGTCATACAGCATTGGAATAAAAATTGGTGCCAGGCATTTATTGGTTTTCATACATTTACAGGTATTTTTTATTAATCAGTTTTCTTATGATTAACTATATATTAGTAGGAAGTTCTTTGTGATTATATTTAGTAGGTTAGTTGTTTGAGTTTGAAACGCAATTCTCCAGGTTCGAACCCTTGGGGTCATTTGCCAATTAGATGGATTTTATTTTCTTATTATGCAACAAGATATATATTACAAAATTTTATGCTATGAATTTCTCTAAAATATTTAAATTTTTTAGGTTGTGACACAACAAGCTCGTTCATGGGAAAAGGTAAAGGGAAACCCCTTAAGGTCCTCTTTGAGTATACCGAATTTCTTGACACATTTAGTCGATTAGGAGATTCCTTTATAATTTCAGAAAGTGTTTTAAGTAGTCTGGAGAAGTTTGTCTGCTATATGTATCAAAAGAATTCTACTTGTAATTCTGTGAACGAAATGAGGTATCAATTGTTTAAATCCGGAATATACGACGAAGAACTGCTCCCACCAACTTTAGATTCTCTTAGATGTCATATAAAACGAGTTAACTATCAATCATATATATGGCGAAATGCAACTAAGCCTATTCATAATTTAGACGATTTCCAAAACCATGGCTGGATGGTTAGTGAATCAGGAATTGCCATTGAATGGCTAATGAATCCAGTAGCACCAGACAGTATCCTGAACTTTGTAAAATGTAACTGTACGACAGGTTGTGATACTAAACGCTGTTCTTGTGTAAAATCGGCTTTAAAGTGTTCAGAACTATGTAACTGCTCAAAGTGTGATAACACTGCTTTTGCTGACGATGAAGATGTTTATGATAATGGTGTTGAGGATTACGATGAGTACGAAGATGAATTTTTAGAAGATGATCTTTTATAGACCAAATTCATTACTTTTAAGTAATAGTTTTTAATTGTTGTATTTACGTATATTTTAAAAGGCTTTTTTGAAAAGAATAAAATTTTAAAATATTGTTTAACTGTCTAAATCGGTTATGAATCGATAAAATCGCTATTTTTACACGATAATAACACGTTAGTGCGAAACTTTTCTTTAATAATATATATTTTTTTAAAATTGTCTTAAAACCAATCAAAATTGCTAATCCAATTACATTCTGAAAAAAAAAAAAAAAAAAATTCATAGTTAACAGCTAAAATCGATAAAAATCGATAGATCGTTTTGATGGTTTTTTAAAGCTCGACATAAAAAAAACTGCGGGTTTTTGAACTGAGAAATTTATAGTTTATAATCTTAACACCTTAAAACGCTCATTTGCATCAAAATTTTTTAGAGCTCATGACTGCACCACGAAAATTGATTTTAAAGCATCTTTTTATGCTTTGGCCTACGGTCTAATAGATTATTGGACACATAACACGCATCTGAAACGTGTTTTTATTAAATGTATATACAAACACGCAAACGCATCGGCTCTAAAAATAATAACAAAAAACAAATACTTGTAAATTTTAATAATTTAACTTGCCCATTGTTCAATATGCACATCTATATTCTAGTTTTTTTAATATAATAAAAACACATGTTATATTATTTTTATAATAACAAAATTGCACTAAAATCCTTTACTAGTGTTCTAATGCATTATTTTCCTTGTATTATATAAATGTATTATTTCTTACAATTTGAAATTGTAAGAAATAATTCAATTGTTTGAATATTAATGTAATTTTTGAATATTACGTTGTATAGTGTATTTTTTGTTGTATAAACAGTAATTGTAAGAATTTGAATTTCTTAAAATTACTGTTTATACAACAAAAATTACACTATACAACGTAATATTCAAAAATTACAATAATATACAAACAATTGAAATCCATTTTATTGAAAGGTTTGGTTGCATTTGCTTTGGGCAGTACATCATAAAGAAGGACGATTTCAAATAAAAACAAAACTTCTGATATTTTTTGATAAATCTACCAAGTTTAAGACATTTATATCAGAAAAGAAGAAATTAATTTAATCAAAAGAAAAGTTCTTACTTAAATCTGAATGCATGCAATCAGTTTAAAGTGAGATACATACCACATCCATAAAAATATTAAAAATTTCAATTGAGTTAGTTTTACCTTTATGTATTCATTGTCGCTCATTTTTCATTTTCATCGTCATCATCATCGTAGAAAGATTAAGATGGAGTACTTAATGAGACAAACAGCAAAGAACTTAATATTTTATTTAACACTATTTATGTAAAAGCAAAAAATAATAACAATATAAAAATTTCTAATTTTTGTTTAATAAGATTTTTATCAATAGCAGCTTTAATAATATACATATCATTAACAATCTTAACATAAATACAATAATTACATAAATTCAAATAATAACTTTAATATATATCTAAATTAGTGAGTTTATTTTGTATTTATTAGCAGGTATATTTAATTTTATTTAATTTTTTAAAAAACTGATGTTATTAAGAAACTACAAGAGTAACAATAATAAATCAATATTATTATAACAACATTAACAATAAAAACAATATTATTATAACAATAATAAAACATTTTTTTTCTCCCTCGCTAAAAAGTATTTTTATTACAGTATATAGAATCTCCATCTTTCTATGTAAATACTATATATGTAAAGATTCCATCTTTACATAGAGTATTTGTTTCTTTTAAAAATTAAAATTTTGCTTACTATTTATTTTATACTTTACCCTGAAGGGTTTAAAAAAATAGAGCTTCCATTAAATCATTTAACTATATTGTATTTTGCATTTCTTATTATATATATTTTTTTAACATTGTATGTTGTTAAATTTAAATGCAGATGTATCAAGTACAGAACAACTATAATATTTAAATCATCAACAATATGTAACAACTTATAAACATTAAAAATTACAACTCTCAGATGAATTATGGATACAAGTAGCAAAAAGGTATATAGCAAATGGCAATAATTAATTTCTGTTATTATCATTCTTTTTGTTTAAAATTCTTACAGTTACAGCAAATGCAACAAACAGATTTTAAATTTCATTGTCTAAAACTTTCTCAAACACAATATAACACAGTATATAAGATAAATTGATGAAATTCTGTTGCCTTGAAATTTTCTAGTTTAAAAAGTCCACTTGGACTTCTAACTAGGTTAGAAGCAGTGGACTGATCAATTTCCAGCATTTGATTTAAAGTTGTTTCTGAGCAAAGCTGATATAAGTTTTTGATTTGAATTTTACACAACGTTAAGATATTGATGACATACTTTGATAAAAAAAATTGATGAAAAAATTTGCAAATAAAGAAACCGTATCTAAACTACTTATTAACAATTATATGCTGTTCCTATTTTTATGCAATAAGTAAGCATTCAACATCAGTTCTTAAAATTGTACTATTATTTTCTTTTTTTTTAATTTACTTTGTCGCAGAAGTTTACCAATCACACTTATTTTTTGATGTTTGATCTGAGAAACATCTAAAAAAAATGCATGTGCTGGAACATCACAAATAAAACAATGCAAAATAAATCTGAGGTTTTTCATTATTAACTAACCTATTAAGTATAAGATTAATAACTTATTGCTGCAACTCTTTTAAATAAAATTTTGCTATTAAATGTTATTTTGTCATACCATATTTTACTATTAAACAAAAAATTGTCTCCATTTGCTAACTATTGGAGCACTGAATAAGAAATCCATCAGTATTTACATCAATAGTTACAAAGTTTATATTTACTTTAAACCTTTGTAAATCTAAATGTTATTACACTTGCTCAATACAACATGGATACAATATAACATGGAATTCTAGTTGGACATCTTTTGGTATGTTGCATTTTTT